GACTGGGTGGGTGGGTGAGTGGTTGGTTGGGTGAGTGGGTGGGTGGGTGAGTGGGTGGGTGAGTGGTTGGTTGGGTGAGTGGGTGGGTGGGTGAGTGGTTGGTTGGGTGAGTGGGTGGGTGGGTGAGTGGGTGGGTGAGTGGGTGGGTGGGTGGCTGAGTGGTTGGTTGGGTGAGTGGGTGAGTGGGTGGGTGGGTGAGTGGGTGGGTGGGTGATCGAGTGGGTGGGTGAGTGGGTGGGTGAGTGGTTGGGTGATCGAGTGGGTGGGTGAGTGCTTGGGTGAGTGGTTGCGTCTGTCACACCGAGTCCTGAACGCGTGCGGATGAATCGGCGAGTGAAGTTCACGGGAACAGTAACCGTGGCGATCGCGACAGACGCGTGATAAGGGGGCGACTGACCATCCGGGATTTGACCTCGCGACCTTCCGAGCCCGCAGTGCCCCGGGGTCACTCGCTGCGAATGACCCCCCCCCACCACCCATCCCTATTTTAATTTTTATTTTCCACGGATTTGACCGAGGGCCGTGCCCAGCGACGTCGACATTCCTCTTCCCGTAACCGAGAGAAGCGGCGGAGCGCCTCTTCGTTTACGAGGCGAGCGGGCGAGCGGCACGGAGGTGATTCATGGAGTTGTCGACAAACCGAATGCCGGAGCGTGTGGGATGTGTCTTCTCTGTTTTCCGTCACGAATCGCATCGCCCCCCCCCTCCACCCCCCACCACCACCACCACCACCCCCCCCCACCACCACCACTCCCCCCCCACCACCACTACCCCCCCACCACCACTACCCCCCCACCAATACCCCCCCACCACAACCCCCCCCAACACCACCACCCCCCCCCCCCACCACCACCACTCCCCCCCCACCACCATCCCCCCCCACTACCACCACTCCCCCCCCCACCACCACCACCCACCACCACCACCACCACCCCCCACCACAACCCACCACCACCACCACCCCCCCCACCACCACTCTCCCCCACCACCCCCCACCACCACCACCCCCCACCACCACCACCCCCACCACCACCACTCCCCCCCCACCACCACCATCCCCCCCCACGACCCCCCCCCCACCACCACTCGCCCCCCCACCACCACTCCCCCACCACCACCACCACCACCCCACCACCAGCACTCCCCCCTCCATCACCACTCCTCCCCCCACCACTCCCCCCCACCACCACCCCCCCCCACCACCATTCCCCCCCAACACCACCATTCCCCCCCCCACCACCACCCCCCCCCCCACCACCACCACCCAACTTGGCTGAGCGTACCCACACGATCCCTCTGCGGTGGTAACAGCGACGTCGAAGATTCGACCCCCCCTAGCCGCGTTCGACTCCCGCTCGCGTTATTTAACAATCAGCGGCGATTATTGTCTGAACCTGTGCTGCACCCCCCCCACGCCCGCCCCTCCTCTAGGTCGACTCAGCCTCGAGTGAGTACCTGGCGCGGTGTGCGAACGTGGGCGTGGTGCTGGCCACTCACGCCCTCGTGTGCCGTTGGCGGCCTTCGTAGCAGAGGTCGCAAACGGGTTTTGATTCCTTACCCGTACCCGTACCCGGCCGCACCAGGGTCACAAATGGGTACCCGTTCCCTACCCGTACCCATACCCTACCCGAAATGAGTGACAAACGGTTACTCACCAGTGACTCACGGCCTACCCGTACCTGACCGCACCAGGGTCGCAAACGGCAAACGGCTACCCGTACCCGGCCGGGTACGGGTAGCCGGGTATCGGGTAGGGTACGGGTAATCGGGTACCCGGTTGCGACCTCTGCTTTCGTAGGCGCCACTCGCGAACCGCCCCGTGCGTTCTGTGCAGGCGACAGGGTGGGGTGGAGTGTGGGTCACTTCCAAGACGTGCCGGTCGGCTTCGTGGTAGAGTGGATCTCCCACGCTGTCGAGAAGAACGCTCTTTCTTTCTCTCTCGAGCTCCCTCGAGCTCCACACTTCTGCCAGCAGTTGCTCGAGAGAACACTTGCGTGCCCTCCGCCTTTACCTTTTGCCTTCCCAGTGTTAAAAACAAAACGCACACTCGTAGGAGTCAGGAATGAAGGTTGGGCGATGGGAGGGGGGGGAGCGGTGTGGAGAGCCGCTTCTGGCCTCCGTCAAGTGGCGCCGCGTGTGCTCGCTGACAGCCTGTTGATGTCCTTGTGCGAAATGACAAAAAAACACAAAGACTAAGATCCCCCTCCACCACCACCCACCACCCCACTACCCCACCTCCCCCGTGTAGCCTTTAGCAAACTGTTGGGGCAAGTGCCGTTCGTGAAGCACCTGTGGAGGCCCAGGACCGGTGCAGATAATCGTCACCGGTGTGAGCGGGAATCGAACTCGGCTCTCTGCCGGGTTCGTAGCGAGAGTAGCGGCGCTAACCGCTGCGCCACCGCTCCCAGCACGCGCGTTCACACACGCGCGTTCACACACGCACGCGTTCACACACACAGCGTTCACACACACGCGTTCACACACGCGTTCACCACACACGTTCACACACACACGCGTTCACACACACACACGTTCACACACACACGTTCATACACACGCATTCACACACAAACACGTTCACACACGTTCACACATACACGTTCACACACACACGCGTTCACACACACACGCGTTCACACACACGCGTTCACACACACACGTGTTCACACACACACACGTTCACACACACACACGTTCACACACACGCGTTCACACGCACGCGTTCACACGCACGTTCACACACACACACGCTCCCACACCGCCTTCTTCAGACCTGCACCCTAGAATCCGTATAGCCTTTAACAGACGGTTCGGGCAAGTGCTGTTGGCGAGCAGCGCCTATGAAGGCCGGCACGGCACACGGGGGGGGGGGGGTAGGTGACCAGCCCCACGCCCGGCCGCCTTTGTCTCCCGAGTGGCGCTGTTTACGCATCGCACGAGGTACTCATTTGGGGCTGAGTCGACCTCGGGGAGGCCCACGACCGGTGTAGATAATCGTCACCGGTGTTGGCCGTGAGCAGGAATCGAACCCGGGCCGCCGGGTTCGTAGCGCGTCGAGCTAACCGCTGTGCGTGCCCACACACACTTGTACACACACACGTACACACACACATGCGTACACACACACACACACGCTCACACACACACGTGTACACACACACACACGTACACACACACGCACACACTCACACACACACGTACACGCACACACACTCACACGTACACACACACACACACGTACACACACACATGCGTACACACGCGTACACACACACGTGTACACACACGCACGCGTGTACACACACACACGTACACACACACATGCGTACACACGCGTACACACACACGCACACACGTGTACACACACACGCGCGTACACACACGCACACACACGTACACACGAACACACACACCTGTACACACGTACACACACGCGTACTCACGCGTACACACGAGCACACACACACATGAACTCACACATGCGTACACACGCGTACACACGAACACACACCTGTACACACGTACACACACGCGTACACACACACGCGTACACACACACGCGTTTACACACACACGTGTACACACACACGTGAACACACGTGTACACACACACGTGAACACACGTGTACACACACGTGTACACACACACACACACGTGTACACACACACACACGTGTACACACAACAAAGATCCCCCGTATAGCCTGAACAGACTGTAGGGGCAAGTGCTGTTAGCGAGCACCTATGAAGGCCAGAACGGTACACGAGGGGGTGGGTGGCCAGCACCACGCCCGACCGCCTTTGTCTCCCTAGTGGCGATGTTTACACACCGCACCAGGTACTCATCTAAGGCTGAGTCGACCTAGGGGAGGCCCAGGACCGGTTCAGATTATCGTCACTGGTGTTAGCCGTGAGCGGGAATCGAACCCGGGTCGCCAGGTTCATAGCGCAGCGCGCTAACCGCTACACTACCGCTCCCCACACACACGTGTACACACACACACACGTGTACACACACACACGTGTACACACGTGTACACACACACACACGTGTACACACACACGTGTACACACACACACACGTGTACACACACACACGTGTACACACACACGCGTACACACGCGCGCACACGCGGCCTCTATTCTTCGCTGCTCTCAAACTCGTGACTCAGCAGCGAACGATGGCTGAAATAAAAAATAAACAGAGAGAGACACGTTCTCTCCCAAGTCTTCACGAACGCCCCGACCTACTCTCCGCTCGTCCAAACATCACTAAAACACTCTCATCACCGAACGTTTCGTTTCAAGTTTTGGAATTCACATATACGTGTTTTTTTTTCCAGGCCACCACCGCCCAGAGACACCCTTCAATCATATCCTTTGTTTTATTTTTGTACAAATCTCTTAAAAAATATATATATTTTTTAAAAATGTGCATTTAAAACGTCGAAATCCGTCGAAGGTGGAACGTCTCGTTGCGGTCATGGCGAGCTCGATCCGATGCAGCAGTGCGGCTGGGAGCTGAGCGCTCCAGCCCAGACGTGATCAGCAGCAGCAGCAGCGGCGGCGGTAGCAGCAGCGGCGGCGGTAGCAGCAGCGGCGGCGGCAGCAGCAGCGGCGGCAGCAGCAGCGGCGGCAGCAGCAGTAGTAGCAGCGGCAGCGGCGGCAGCAGCAGTAGTGGCGGCAGCGGCAGCAGCAGCAGCGGCGGCAGCAGCAGTAGTAGCAGCAGCAGCAGCGGCGGCAGCAGCAGCAGCAGCGGCAGCAGCGGCGGCAGCGGCAGCGGCAGCAGCAGCAGCAGCAACGGGATGATTTTCCAGTTGTTGTTTTTCGTGCCGGAGCAGTAAAAATGTTCGAAGTCGACGGTGAAAACGTGAACCCCTTTCACTGCGCTCGGAGAATTCCTGGCGTCCCCCCCTCCCCTCGCCCCCGCTCTGCGTCCTGGTCGTCCGTAGCCCCTGAACTCTGACCCTGGACGCGTCTGGCATTCCTGTTCACCGCAGGTCCAGAGACGGGACAAGACCTGGACATCTCCAACATAGACACCTCCATTCTCGAGCAGTACATCAACGAAAACGAGGACCTGTGAGTATGGCGTGCTTCTTGCATTTCTCTTTCACGTCCATGGGAACGTGGAATTTACACCGCTGGCTTTGGACCACCGTTTGAAACGGACGACGTTCTTCTTTTGGGGGGCTTTTTGACGGAGCGCTCGGTCTGGCGGTGGGAGGAAGGTCGTGAGTTCAAGTTCGGGGTCGTGGGGTCGACTCGGCTCATCGTCGCCATCAATTGTCGTGACCCCTACAGGATCGATAGAATCGGTATTCCGAGGAGGGTGGGTGGGGGGGTAAGTTGCCTTTGTTATCCTGGTGCTCAGACCACTTGATTTGTCTGTTGAGCTGCACACACCATCACCATCACCACCATCACCATCACTACCATCACCATCACCACCATCACCATCACCACCATCACCACCATCACCAACACCACCATCACCATCATCATCACCACCATCACCACCATCATCACCATCACCACCATCACCACCATCACCATCACCACCATCACCACCATCACCATCACCACCATCACCACCATCATCATCACCACCATCACCACCACCATCATCACCATCACCACCATCACCATCACCACCATCACCACCATCACCACCATCACCACCAGTGCGGTGCCGACGCTGCGCCTGATGACGTCGCTCCTCGTCAGCGCGGGGACGGAAACCACAGGGCCTCTGGCCCCCACGTGAGCCCTCTGGCCCCCACGTGGGCCAGAGGGCCCCCCACCACGTGGGCCTTCCAAGAGCGGCCGTCCCACGCGCGAGCGGCAAAAAGAAACTGAAGAATAATCCCGAACACCGATATAGACAGTTTCAGTTTTTATTGTAAAAAACGTCATCTGAAGATTGCGCGATGTTCCGCACACACACAAGACAAACAGCTGCTCCGTAGAGCCTCTCTCCACATTCTGCGGCTTAATTCTCGCCAACGCCTCCCCCCCCCCCCCCCCCCCCACGAAAAAAACAAATCCCATTTTTCCGCACCGCGGCGACGTTTCCCACCATTGCGAGCAAGCGGCCCAGAGGCCCGGCCCGGCCTTTATGACCGCCGCCGCCTGCAGCTGCAGCAGCTGCTGCTGCTGCCCGCGAGACGGCTTTTGGTGCGAGACTGTCAGCGGCAAGTGCCGCGCTGGATCCGGCAATTTGAAGGCTTCCTGAGCTCCCCCCCCCAACCCTCTCGTCGCGCGGTGCCAGGGGGCACCTCGCCAGCAAGAGCACGAACCCCCCCCCCCCTCCCGGCTTAAACCCGTCCAGTTTGGGCGTTGTGAGTGTGCCAAGCCAGCAAAGTCTTGGGCTAGCCCCCCCCCCCCCAACCGTGACCCTAATTACACCAGCCTCGACCCTACGCCGAACCCGCATTACTGTCAACCGAACGAGGAGCCGTCGCCCGAATTACCGTGGAACTAATTGCTCCCCAACCCCAGCCATACACCCGACCCGAATTATAGTGACCATCGAATTACCCCCGACCCTCATCCTGAGTAGACTAGCCGTGATTGCACGAGCAGTGGCCACCCGCCTAACTCGAATTACATTGCACCCAGAAAATACCGGGAACACGACGACACAACCACAGAGAATACGGCAATGAGACTTCACCCACGGAGAGAATACGGTAATGAGACTTCACCCGGAGAGGCTAATCGCTGGTTGGGGGCGTTTGCGCCTGCTCTGCTCTGCCCCGCAGCGGCGTGGCGGAGCTGCCGGCCGGCGCGTCGCACGCCCCCTGCCCGACCCCAGGACACGCCGGCCACCCCGGCCACCCCGGCCACGCTGGCGGTGCCGGGGCCGCCACCACCGCGGCCGGTGCCGCCCCGCGCCACGGGGCCCTCGCCGCGGCGGCAGCCTCGCCTCCGGCCGACGGGCTCGCGGCACGCGGCCCACGCGGACCCCTCGCTCCGCAGCTGCAGCAGCAGCTACAGCTGCAGCAGCAGCAACAGCAGCAGCAACAGCAGCAGCAGCTGCAGCAGCAGCAGCAACAGCAACCTCCGCTACCGCTACTGCCGCCCGGCACCAACAGCAGCCTCCTGGGCCACGGGGAGCTGCGCCGGTTGCACAGCGCCCCCGCCCAGCGCACCGCACCCTACCGGCCCGGGTGAGGCTCAGCGGGGCACCGTCGGCGCTCAGGGCGCTCAGGTGTCGATGGGGACACCTCGCTCACCGTCTGCTTCGTCTGCGCGGAATAGAGCGTTGCCCCCTCGCCCGCGAGGGTTGTCTCCAGGCGCTCCGGTTTCCTCCCACGTGTGAACACACGTTAATTGGCCGATAGCAGCTTCATACGTAGAGGATTGCAGAGCTTGGGGGCTGGCTGGGGGGGAAGGGTCGGAATTTGGTGGCAGCTCTTCGCGTGGCTGCTGCCGCTGCTGCTTGCACCGCTCGTCTGCGCGGCATCGGCGGCGCGTTACAGGTTTCACAAATTGTTGTTTTGTGTTGCTGTGCCACCTGCTGTGCACCAAAGAAGATTGTCGGCTTCTTTGCAATCGGTGCGCGCTCCCGGCTAAACGTGACGTGCGGCCTTCGCGACGGCATCGCGCCGCCCAGACGCGCAGGACATATTCACGAACGTCGCGACCGCCGCCTGATGATGCTGGCTGCGAGCGCCGGCACCGCTCTCCTGGCAGCGCTGACGAGGCGGCGGCGATTGGTCGGCCGCGTCTGTTTGCCACGCGACGACGACCTTGTTCCTCGGCCGCTGTGAGTCGGGCTCGTCCGTGACGGTGCGTGGCTGCGCTGTCGTTCCCCGGCAGGAATCTCCCGGAGTCGCCGCCGGACTCCAGCTCGGAGGCCTTCTCTCCGCAGCAGATGGACGGTGAGTAGCGGGGCCCTCCCCCTCATCTTGACACGCCGTTTACAAACGGAGAATAACTCACCGCAGTTCCTGAGCACGGGGGCGCAACAAGGGCCACCAGGGCGTTAGGCGGGCGGCAACAGACGGCACCGTCAAAATCGATCGAGGAGTTTGGGGGGAAGAGACGATGGTGATGATTTTGGGAAGGGATTCCCAAGTGGAGCAGTGAAAGGGAGGAAGTGGACAGGTCAGGGTTGGGACCTGCAGTGTGGAGGAATCTGTAAGTCAAATTTACGGGAACAGCAACCACGCTGGTAGCAATGGAAGAGTGATAGGACGGCGACTGACTCGGGTCCTGGCTCGTGAATCAAAACAGTTCTGGATATCCTCCTCCTCCTCCTCCCCCTCTTCCTCCACCTCCTTTGCCTCCTCCTCCCCCCCCCCCCCCCACCTTCCACGCCTCCCACGACTCCTCTCACCCGCCACGTCTCCCCGCCCGTCGTCGTTGTTGTTGTTGCCGTTGCCTCCCCACAGAGACGCGACTCCAGCACCTGACGCCGGACAGCTTCTGCCAAATGTCGAGCCCGCTGGCTCACCCCCACGCGCACCTGCAGCAGGGAACGCACCCACACGTCCACGCGCACCTGCGCCAGCAGCATCAGCAGCAGCAGCATCAGCAACAGCAGCAGCATCTCCATCATCAGCCTCAGCCGCCGCAGCAGCAACCGCAACAGCAGCAACCGCAGCCGCAGCAGCAACCGCAGCAGCAGCCGCATCAGCCGCAATACTCCCTCCCGCCCCAAGTCCACATTTCGCCGCACACGCAGATCACGCACCACCCTCACCACATGATGCCGCATCGGACCGCTGCCCCGACCATGGGGTTGTCTCTCAACGTGCAGCAGCAGCAGCACGCGGCAAGTCCGGCCGCTTACTACGGCCGGGAGGCGCCTTACGGGCCACCGGCTTACCCGCCAGCGTCTCAAGGGTGCAACCCGGCACTGGACGTGAACCATCAGCAGCAGCAGCAGCAGTCGCATGTCCTGCAGCAGCTGTTGCAGCCGAACGCTGAGTGAGTGTAACGATCAGCTGCTGGATGAAGGCCTCCACCCCCCCCCCCCGCCGCCCAACGTTTTACGGGCGAACCCATTTCCCGGTTGAAACGCTCGCTCGCATTGACGACGATATTGACAATAGCTATTGTGATAAATCCAAATTTCGCCACGCGGCCGGTGGCAGCTGTCGGGAGTTAAATTTACGGGCGTATTTGTGAGCCGGCCATGTTCAGCGCTGGTTTTGCTTCCCAGTTGTAGGCACCGACGTTCCAATCGACCGGTTCCTAGTTTTCTCCGGCGCAGGTCCCTCGTAGCAAAACGACGAGAGGTCGTTACGACATCAAACCTGTCAACCACTAATCAGTGCCGACGTTACTACAGGCCAATTCAGACCTTATTGGTCACCCCGTGCGCTTATCAATCTCAACGTTCATCCTACAAAGTGCCCATCACAAGGGGAGAAACGCAAATCGACAAACACATTTTTTGCCCGCGTTGAAACGGCTGTACGCCACGTGCACCCGAAAACTCACCTTCCCTGTACGAGAACACGGGGGTTGTAAACCGTACGGGGCTTGACAGCGGTGCGACATCGCTCGCGACCCCACATTGCAGACGGGCGGAGCCGATGCGTTTGTGTCGACCCCCCCCCACCCCCCCGGCACTGTCCAACGGTTCACCAAGCGGCGGTGTGGCCGGCGGTCAGCGCCACGCCGCCGCCCATGACCCCCCCAGTTCGATTCCCGCTCACGGCCAACGCCGGTGACGATTGTCTCAAGGGGTCACGGGCACCCTCGAAGGTCGACTCAGCCTCGCGTGAGCACCCGGGTGCGGTGCGCGGTCAACGTCGCCACTTGGGAAGACAAAGGCGGCCGGGCGTGGTGCCGGCCACCCACTTCCTCGCGCGCCGTGCCGGCCTTCGTAGGCGCTGCTCGCTGACGGAGCTTGTCCCCGACAGGCGGCTGAGGCTATGCGGGGACCTTTGTCTTTGCAGTCCGATGGTCCACCAGGCGAAGAAGCGGAAGCACTCGGACTCCCCCACGAGCACGCTCACGGGGCACATGTTGAGCAGCCTCAACCCCATCAAGCAGGAGCCAGGTGAGCCGCTCGCACAGGGACTGCGGTGAACTTGAGCCAGGTGAGACGCTCACACAAGGACCGTGGTGAACTTGAGCCAGGTGAGACGCTCGCACAGGGACCGCAGTGAACTTTAGCCAGGTGAGACGCTCGCACGGGGACCGCGGTGAACTTGAGCCAGGTGAGACGCTCGCACGGGGACCGCGGCAAACTTGAGCCAGGTGAGACGCACGCACAGGGATCGCGGTGAACTAGAGGAGCCAGGTGAGACGCTCGCACAGGGACCGTGGCGAACGCGAGAGACGATGGGAACAGCGTTGCCACCGCTTCCTTCCTCCTGCCAGATTCTGAGATCTTCAAGGACCGCAATTTCAGTCTCATTGTCATCGTCGTCGTCGTCGTCATCATCACCGCAATCTCTACCACTGTCTGGCTTTAGGTCTACTCTTCCCCTCGGCAGCCGACCTCTGGGTGCCACTCCAATGCCCGCCTCTGGAATCTGCGGTGTCGAATGTTTCAGCGTTCAGATGTGTGCCCGATGTACAGGGATACCTCGCACTTTCCTCTGGTTAGGGGACCAGAGCATGGGCGAATGTCAAAGCAGAGCCTTGATTTAGCCTCGCAGGATTTATCTTGGCCGATTATGAATATATTAAAGCACAACAATTCAGCATTTTACGGTAATCAGAAAAACAAGCACAGTATGAATACTGTACACGTCGTTTATAATCACGAAAATAACGATGGACACCGTAGTATTCTACTGTCATCACGAAAATAACTACGAATTGTCTACAGTATAATTACGTGCAGTATTAACAATACGCGAATAGACACAAGTACAAGAGATGCTCACCGGACGACTTCTGTTCAAAGACCGAACGGGAAAGACGCAGGCGGAAGGTTGGCGATGAAATCGCGCGGGAGAGGAAAAGCCGCGTGGACGAAACTTTTGAAACGCGGTCGTAGTTGAAAACGTCCGAGAAAGCGAAGCACACTGTTTGTTTTTTTCGGTAAAGTCACGTAGGTACCTACGTAGGTTTACAGACAAAACCAAAGAGTATGAATCCTTGCAGAACAAAGCGCGGCGAAGGCCCCCAGGGTGTCGATTGAGCCACGGCAGCGTGGGGGGGGGGGCAGCTGTAGTGCGGACAGCCGTCCTGCTCCTCTGTTCTAAGTGGCTGCTTGTCTCTCCTCTCCTTCCTTCTCAGCCTCTTTGACTGCTCACCTCTTTGTCTGTGTGCAGGTAAGCCGCTGCCTTTCGATGCAACTTTCCATTTTCCTTTTTGAAAAAACGAAAAACACGTTGATTTACATTTCTCAACCCCCGCCCCCCCCCCCCGCTCCCTGCCGCGTCCCGTGCGCTCCTCTCCCCGGAGAGTCTCCAGGAGGGTCCTGACACATGGAGACGTTTGGCTAACGTCTTGTTAAATAAAGAGCGTTTTGGCTTCAAGTGGCAGGACCGGAGAAAGCGGGGAAAACCCAGCACGGCGCTGCATTACGGGGAGGGGGGGGGGTAGGCACTCTCGAAACTCCACACAGATAGATTCATGATGGTGGTGATGGCGACGATCTCTTGGCCACTTCAAGGTGTAACCAGGCAGTCTTCCTGCGTGAATGTTTGTGTCTGTGTGTACGTGTGTGTCTGTGTGTACGTGTGTCTGTGTGTGTACGTGTGTGTGTGTCTGTGTGTCTGTGTGTGTGTCTGTGTGTGTCGCTCGCTCGCGCGCGGCGCAGGAATGATCGGCGACTGCGGCAGCGACGTCTACAGCTACGACTGCGACAGCCTCAACGGCTCCTACCTGGACCCCAGCTACCAGTGCCTCAAGTGGCAGCCGTTCCAGCAGAACAAGTGGTGCTCGCTGCTCGATGGCTCCTGCAAGGAGCTGTGAGCCTCCACTCCTCACCCCGCACGATCCTTGCGTTCCCGTCGGGGCTCCATCCTCAGTTTTGGCGTTCGACTTTTTTACGCCGCCCCGAATCACGTGCTGAGATCCGACGCCTCGTGAGCAAGGGTCGTCCACGGCGGCGTGGCGGTCGACACGCGCGTGGCGACACGGCGCGCACAAACACACCAACACGAAGAGCACCCTCACCAGGCCGATGGGGGCGCGTGCTGTTAGCCAGTGGCACCTGTGAAGGACGAGGGGCCGGTGGGCGGTGGGCTCTACCCGCGGGTAAACCGAGCGCGGCGATAATTGCATGAAAAATAAATCTGTAAGCCGTCACGGGGGTCCTCGCCGGGCGAGGCGCCCGTCGTCACGCTCTGTCGTGGATGTCGGTGACCCCTGCCCCCTGCCCCCCCGCCCCCGCCCCCCGCGCCAGGCTGATGCCCACGTACCGCGTGGACGCCGACAAGGGCTTCAACTTCTCAGTGCCGGACGACGCGTTCGTGTGCCAAAAGAAGAACCACTTCCAGGTGACGGTGCACGTGGCCATGATGGGGTTGCCGCGCTTCGTCAAGGCGCCCGACGGCACCAAGCCCGTCGACTGCTTCTACATCAAGCTCTACGGGGTCAAGGTGGGCACGTGGGGTCAAGTGGGGGGTCAGGTGGGGGGTTAAGTTGGGGGTCGAGGTGGGGTCAAGTGGAGGTCGAGGTGGGGTTAAGTTGGAATTCCATGAGGTCAGAGTTGAGTATGGGTGGGCTTCGTGGGGTCAAAGTGGGGCCCATAGGTTCAAGGTGCTGCAGGACATTATTGTAAAACTGCTTTTTCACCCAGAAAAGCATCGTTGAGTCTTAAGGCTCTTTCCCAAGAGGGTCCTGCCAAATGTTTTCTGCGTCTGTGCGTGCGTCTGTGCTACAGATGGAGGCCACCAACCAGAGCATCAACATCGAGCAGTCGCAGTCCGATCGCAGCAAACGGCCCTTCCACCCAGTCAGGTGAGGACTCGCACGCGCCAGTACACACACACACTCACCAACACACACACACACTCACCAATACACACACACTCACCAATAAACACACACACACACACACTCACCAATACACACACACTCACCAATAGACACACACTCACCAACACACACTCACCAACACACACACACACACTCACCAACACACACACACTCACCAAGACACACACTCACCAACACACACTCACCAGTACACACACACTCACCAATAGACACACACTCACCAACACACACACACTCACCAACACACACACACACACTCACCAGTACACACACACTCACCAAGACACACACTCACCAATACACACACACACAATCACCAACACACACTCACTACCAGTACACACACACACTCACCAACACACACACACCAGTATACAAGGGTCCCCCATAACGAACTGTTAGGGGCACGTGCTGTTCGCCAGCCCCTCACAATGGCAGCACGAGCGGGTGGCGGTGTGTCACCCTACCCTGCCGTTACCACGTTAGCCTGCTTCCCCTTCACCTGCAGACGTTCTGTCACCCATTTACCCCATGCCTGGATGCTGACTTGCCACGTGTGTGCATGTGCGCGTGTGTGTGCATGTGTGCGTGTGTGTGTGCGCGTGTGTGTGCATGTGTGCGTGTGTGCGCGCGTGTGTGCGCGCGCGTATGTGTGTACGTGTGCGTGTGTGTGCGTGTGTGTGTACGTGTGTATGCGCGCGTATGTGTGTACGTGTGTATGTGTGCATGTGTGCGTGTGTGCGCGTGTGTGTGCACGTGTGTGTGTGTGCGTGTGTGTGTGCGCGTGTGTGCGTGTGCACGTGTGTGTGTGTGCATGTGCACGTGTGTGTGTGTGCATGTGTGCATGTGCGCGTATGTGTGTACGTGTGTGTGTGTGCGTGTGCGCGTGTGTCTCGTGACCCCGCCGTGACCCCCAGGGTGGACCTGCCGGCGGACCAGATGACGAAGGTGACGGTGGGGAGGCTCCACTTCAGCGAGACGACGTCCAACAACATGCGCAAGAAGGGCAAGCCCAACCCGGACCAGCGGTGAGGCCCGGGGCCGGCTGTGCCGTGTGTCTGATGGGTGTGGTGTCTGGTGTGGTGTGTGTGTGATGGGTGTGTGTGTGATGGGTGTGGTGTCTGGTGTGTCTGATGGGTGTGGTGTCTGGTGTGTGTGATGGGTGTGGTGTCTGGTGTGTGTGATGGGTGTGGTGCGTCTCTGATGGGTGTGGTGTCTGGTGTGTGTGATGGGTGTGGTGTCTGGTGTGTGTGATGGGTGTGGTGTCTGGTGTGTGTGATGGGTGTGGTGTCTGGTGTGTGTGATGGGTGTGGTGTCTGGTGTGTGTGATGGGTGTGGTATCTGGTGTGTGTGATGGGTGTGGTGTCTGGTGTGTGTGATGGGTGTGGTGTCTGGTGTGTGTGATGGGTGGTGGTGTCTGGTGTGTGTGATGGGTGTGGTGTCTGGTGTGTGTGATGGGTGTGGTGGGTTGTGTCTGATGGGTGTGGTGTCGTGTGTGTGATGTGTGGTGCGTGTCTGATGGTGTGGTGTCTGGTGTGTGTATGGTGTGGTGTCTGATGTGTGATGGGGGTGTGGGTGTGGTGTCTGATGGGTGTGGTGTCTGGTTTGTGATGGGTGTGGTGCGTGTCTGATGAGTGTGGTGTCTGGTGTGTGTGATGGGTGTGGTGTCTGGTGTGTGTGATGGGTGTGGTGGGTGTGTGTGTCTGATGGGTGTGGTGTCTGGTGTGTGTGATGGGTGTGGTGCGTGTGTGATGGGTGTGGTGTCTGGTGTGGTGTGTGTGTGATGGGTGTGGTGCGTGTGTGATGGGTGTGTGATGGGTGTGGTGTGTGTGTGATGGGTGTGGTGTCTGGTGTGTGATGTGTGTGGTGCATGTAATGGGTGTGTGTGATGGGTGTGGTGTGTGGGTGATGAGTGTGATGGGTGTGTGTGATGGGTGTGGTGTGTGTGTGCGTGTGATGGGTGTGTGTGTGTGATGGGTGTGGTGTGTGTGTGATAGGTGTGGTCTGTGTGTGATGGGTGTGTGTGATGGGTGTGTGTGTGTGATGGGTATGGTGTGTGTGATGGGTGTGGTCTGTGTGATGGGTGTGTGTGATAGGTGTGGTCTGTGTGTGATGGGTATGGTGTGTGTGATGGGTGTGGTCTGTGTGATGGGTGTGGAGCGTGTGATGGGTGTGATGTGGGGTGTGTGTGATGGGTGTGGTGCGTTTGTGATGGGTGTGGTGTGTGATGGGTGTGATGTGGGGTGTGTGTGATGGGTGTGGTGTGTGATGGGTATGGTGTGTGTGATGGGTGTGGTCTGTGTGATGGGTGTGTGTGATAGGTGTGGTCTGTGTGTGATGGGTATGGTGTGTGTGATGGGTGTGGTCTGTGTGATGGGTGTGGAGCGTGTGATGGGTGTGATGTGGGGTGTGTGTGATGGGTGTGGTGCGTTTGTGATGGGTGTGGTGTGTGATGGGTGTGATGTGGGGTGTGTGTGATGGGTGTGGTGTGTGATGGGTATGGTGTGTGTGTGATGGGTGTGGTGTGTGTGTGTGTGTGATGGGTGTGGTGAGTGTGTGATGGGTGTGGTGTGTGATGGGAGTGGTGTGTGTGTGTGATGCGTGTGGTGTGTGTGATGGGTGTGGTGTGTGTGTGTGATGTGGTGTGTCTGGCGAGTGTGTGATATGTGTGTGTGGCGTGTGTGTGTGTTGGTTGTGTATGGCGAGCGGTAGTGTAGCAGTTAGTGCGCTACACCATTGACGATTATTCGAACCGGTCCTGGGCCTCCCCTAGGTCGACTCAGCCTGAAATGAGCACCTGATGCAGTAGGTTAGGGTTAGGGTAGGTAAACATCGCTACTGGGGAGACAAAGGCGGCCGGGCGTGGTGCTGGCCACCCACCCCCTCGTGTGCCGTGCCGGCCTTCACAGGTGGCTCGCGAACAGCACTTGCCCCAACGGTCTGTTAAGGCTACACGGGGGATCTTTGCCTGTGTCTGTGTATGTACGGTGAGTGTGGGTCTGGCAATTGCAGCAGCTCCTGCTAGTGCTGAGTTGTGTTCGAGTCGTCGAGTTAATTGCCGCCCTCTCACCCCGGTGTGTGTGACGAGCAGCTACTTCCTCCTGGTCGTGGCGCTGCATGCTCACTCGCAGGGACAGGGTCACATGCTCGCCGCACAGGCCTCCGAGAGGATCATCGTGCGGGTGAGTGGCCCCCTCGGCTACAGCTCCTCCACGCTGAGACTCACCACCTCTCAGCTACGGCTCCTCCATTCTGAGACTCACCACTCCTCAGCTACAGCTCCTCCACGCGGCCACGCTGAGACTCACAGCCTCTCAGCTATAGCTCCTCCACACTGAGACCCACAGCCCCTCAGCTACAGCTCCTCCACACTGAGACTCACCACCCCTCAGCTACAGCTCCTCCACGCTGAGACCCACAGCCCCTCAGCTACAGCTCCTCCACGCTGAGACTCACCACCCTCAGCTACAGCTCCTCCACGCTGAGACTCACCACCCCTCAGCTACAGCTCCTCCACACTGAGACTCACCACCCCTCAGCTACAGCTCCTCCACACTGAGACTCACCACCCCTCAGCTACAGCTCCTCCACGCTGAGACTCACAGCCCCTCAGCTACAGCTCCTCCACACACGGCCATGCTCGCTACAAGCGGCACTCGTCCCGTTGTAACGGACTGCGGCCCGCGTGCCCCCTCGGCCAGGCGTCGAACCCGGGCCAGTTCGAGAACGACTCGGAGGTGCTGTGGCAGCGCGGCCCGCAGGGCGACACGGTGTTCCACCACGGCCGCGTGGGCGTCAACACGGAGCGGCCCGACGAGGCCCTCACCGTGCACGGCAACATCAAGGTGGCCGGCTCCATCCTGCAGCCGTCGGACGCACGCGCCAAGGAGCACATCCGCGACGTACGTACCGCACACACGCAGTTAGTGTGTGTGTATGTGTGTCACTGTGTGTGTGTCATTGTGTGTATGTGTGTCACTGTGTGTGTGTGTGTGTCACTGTGTGTGTGTCACTGTGTGACATCATAACAACAGTCTGGACCACTGGACGGGTTCCGCAGGACTGGAAGGATGCCCTGGTGGTCCCCCTCTTTAAGAAGGGGGACCGTACCGACTGTAACAACTACAGGGGCATCTCACTCCTCAGTGTGCCGGGTAAGGTCCTGGCAAGGATTATTCAACATCGCCTTGCTAGGCACGCTGAGGAGGGGCTTGCGGAGCCCCAATGCGGTTTCAGGAAAGGGCGGTCCTGCACAGATGCCATATTTTCTGTCCGTCTGCTACAGCAGAGGTGTAGGGAATTCCAAAAAGACCTACATCTCTGCTTTATTGACCTGGTCAAGGCCTATGATACCATCAGTAGGACTGGGCTCTGGGTTGTTCTTCGTGCTTTCGGAGTCCCTGACCCTCTGCTCACGATCATTAAGGACCTTCATGATGGTGAGCGGGCCCGGGTAAAACTACGTGGCCGGGAGTCGGAGCCTTTCCCTGTACACCTTGGGGTGCGACAGGGATGTCCTCTGGCTCCCACATTATTTAACATCTATTTTGACCGCGTAGTTCGTGAAGCCTTCAATAGCTGTACCGGGGGAATTTCCATTTGGTACAGATATAATGGGAGGCTGATCGATGCCCGGGTGCGATCAAGGGATGGCTCCCTATTGGTCAACCACGTTATGTATGCCGATGATTTGGTAATAGCTGCTCATTCAGAAGAGGAGTTGGAGACGATGCTGCTGAGACTGGAGCGTGCCACTAAGAGGTGGGGCCTTACCATCAGCCCCACCAAAACTAAGCACCTGCCTGGGTATTTTGTACCATCGGACACTCCACCCCCACAACTCCCAATTGGTGATGGGGCAGTTGTGGAGAGAGTGGAGAGTTTCCCATACCTGGGCAATGTGCTTATGACCGGCTCCAGTTTGTCAGCAGAGGTCTCACTCCGAATCAGTCGAGCGGCAATATCTTTTCATCGGTTGCGTAACGCTGTGTGGAAGCTACCTGGTCTGTCGCTCCGCACGAAGCTTCAGGTCTTCTCGGCCACGGTCATTCCCTCCCTTCTCTACGCTTGCAAAACGTGGACCCCCCTAGTGGAGCATCTTCGCCGGTTGGAAACATTTAGGCTGGCCTGCCTACGATCCATCCTGGGTTTAACCAGGCTGGACTGTGTGAGGAGCTCACAAATCCTTGAAAGATCTGGGCAAAGTCCCATCGGTGAGCTCCTCCGGCAGGCAAGGCTGCGTTGGCTGGGTCATGTAGCCCGCATGCCCAGCCACCGCATGCCTAAACAGCTTTTGTTCGGCCGGATCGAGGGGGCTAGACGGGCGCGGCACGGGCTGGAGAAGAGATGGAGTGATGTGGTACAGGAGGACGTGGAGCTGAGTGGACTTGCCGATGACTGGTACCAGCGGTGTCAAGATCGGCCTCAGTGGAGGAGGCTCGTGAAGGACGCTACTGGGGAGTTGGAGGCAGTCGCCCTCCAACAACAACGGAGGGCGGAGGAGCGACGCTCACAACAACGAGCGGAGCGCCGGGTGGCTAAAGCACAGCAAGTTGGTACAGTAGGGGGCACAGGTGGTGCATCAGCCAGTCATCTCGGTCATCTCGGTCAGTCGACCCGTGGCACCTGGGTCTGCCCCGTGACCTCCTGCCACCGGGCGTTCGACACTTCACGTGGCCTCAAGGTGCACTTGGCCTGGCACAAGCATCGTGGTGACGTCACCGCCACTTAGTGGCGAATGGCGGTTGTTGTGTTGTGTCACTGTGTATGTGTGTCACTGTGTGTGTGTGTGTCACTGTGTGTGTGTCACTGTGTGTGTGTGTCACTGTGTGTGTCAATGTGTGTGTGTCACTGTGTCCGTGTGTCACTGTGTGTGTGTGTGTCACTGTGTGTCCGTGTGTTACTGCGCTATGAACCCGGCGACACGGGTTCGATTCCCGCTCACGGCTAACACCAGTGACGATTATCTGAACTGGTCCTGGGCCTCCCCTAGGTCGACTCAGCCTCAAATGAGTACCGGGTGCGGTGTGTAAGCATTGCCACTAGGGAGACAAAGGCGTTCGGGCTTGGTGCTAGCCATCCACCCCTCGTGTACCGTTCCGGCCTTCATAGGTACTCGCTAACAGCACTTGCCCCTACAGTCTGTTAAGGCTATACAGGGGATCTTTGTCTTTTGTGTGTTACTGTGTGTTACTGTGTGTGTTACTGTGTGTGTTACTGTGTCTGTGTTATTGTGTGTTACTCTGTCTGCGTGTGTTATTGTGTGTGTTACTGTTATTTTTACTGTGTGTGTGTGTTGCTGTGTGTGCCGGGAAAGGTCCTGGCAAGGATTATTCAACATTGCCTTGCCTGGCACGCTGAGGAGAGGCTTACGGAGCCCCAGTGCGGTTTCAGGAAAGGGCGGTCCTGCACAGATGCCATATTTTCTGTCCGTCTCCTACAGCAGAGGTGTAGGGAATTCCAACAAGACCTGCATCTCTGCTGTACTGACCTGGTCAAGGCCTATGATACCATCAGTAGGCCTGGGCTCTGGGTTGTCACCGTACTTGGTGTCTCTGGCTGTGTCTCTGCGTGTCCCACTTGTGTGTCCGTGTCCCTGTGCAGGTGGACACCACTGAGCAGCTCAAGCGGATTTCGCGGATGCGTCTCGTCCACTTCCAGTACAAGCCCCACTTTGCGGAGACGGTCGGCGTGGAGGTGTCACCGCAGACCGGTGACTCACTCGCTCGCTCACTCGCTTACTTGCTCACTCACTCGCTCACTCCCTCACCCACTGGCTCCCTCAGTCATGAGAAATTAGATCACTCGCTCGCTCACTCACCCACTCGCTCCCTCACTCACTCACCCACTTGCTCCCTCACTCATGAGGAACTCACTCATTCGCTTACTCACTTACTCCCTCACTCACTCGCTCCTTCACTCATGAGGAACTCACTCACTCGATCTCTCGCTCACTCACTCCCTCACCCACTCGCTTCTTCACTCATGAGGAACTCACTCACTTGATCGCTCGCTCACTCACTCACTCGCTTGCTCCCTCACTCACTCGCTCCCTCACTCACTCACTCATGAGGAACTCACTCACTCGATCTCTCACTCACTCACTCACTCGCTCCCTCACTCACTCACTCCCTCACTCACTCACTCATGACTCATGAGTGAGTGAGTGAGGGAGCGATTGAGTGAGTGAGGGAGCGAGTGAGTGAGTGAGCGAGCGATCGAGTGAGTTCCTCATGACTCATGAGGAACTCACTCACTCGATCTCTCGCTCACTCACTCCCTCACTCATGAGGAATTCAATCACTTGCTCTCTCCCTCATGGGACGCTCACTCACTCACTTTGCCGTTCTCACTCACTCACTCGCCCACTCACTCCCTCACTTATGAGGAACTCACTCACTCGATCTCTCGCTCACTCACTCGATCTCTCGCTCACTCCCTCACTCACTCGCTCCCTCACTCATGAGTAATTAACTCATGGGACGCTCACTCACTCACTTTGCCGTTCTCACTCACTCACTCGCCCACTTGCTCCCTCACTCATGAGGAACTCACTCACTCGATCTCTCGCTCACTCACTCCCTCACTCACTCGCTCCCTCCCTCACTCACTCACTCATGAGGAACTCACTCACTCGATCTCTCGCTCACTCACTCGATCTTTCGCTCACTCATTCCCTCACTCACTCACTCCCTTACTCACTCGCTCCCTCACTCATGAGTTATTAACTCATGGGACGCTCACTCACTCACTTTTCCGTTCTCACTCACTCACTCGCCCACGTCGAGCGCACAGTGGCCCCTCGGAGGTCAAAGACGCTGAGCCGGCACCACTGAGAGCCTGGGTTCCACTCCGCTGCCTGTGTTTAAACCAGGTTCTCAAGAGTAGCGAGACCCATCACCATGCACAGATAACCATAGGCTCACATAGACTGAGCTGTGATTAAACAGGGTTCTGCATTTCTTGTGTTAATCTCAACACCTGATGCCAATAGCACAATTCATTACTTAATTAGGGGGAGGGGCCGCCTGAGTGGCAGGTAGTCCAGCTTGGTGACAAGTTTGCGGGTGGGTTGAGAGGCAAAACATTAAAATTAACAAGATACTGTGCTAGAGCATGCCTTTTAAAAATATATATGAAAAAAAAAACGTAAATTATTTCACAAGGTAAGTGTCAACGTTAAAACTCTCGCAGCGAGCGGGGTATGACGGCGCATGACGCAGTGTGCGTGACGATGCGTGCGGTTATCGTGAGGCTCATACGCACAGAACATGTGGATTACCATTGTTCACTAACAGTTAATTTCTCTCCGCACAATCCAGGCGTCATCGCCCAGGAGATTCAAAGAATCATCCCGGAAGCCGTGAAGGAGACCGGAGACATGGTCTGCAACAATGGAGAGAGGATTGAAAACCTCTTGGTGGTTAACCAGGTGGGTGATGATAAGCTAGGTCAGCAGCAGGCTTTGGTGATAGGCCTCCGTGGCAGGCCTTGGTGGGAGGCTGTGATGGTAGGTGGTAGGTTTGGTGGCAGGCTTTGGTGGTAGGCGTTGGTGGGAGGCTGTGATGGTAGGTGGCAGGTTTGGTGGCAGGTTTGGTGGTAGGCTGTTGTGGTAGGGCTTGGTGAGAGGCTGTGATGGTAGGTGGCAGGTTTGGTGGCAGGCTGTGGTGGTAAGCCCTGGCGGTAGGCCTTGGTGAGAGGCTGTGATGGTAGGTGGCAAGTTTGGTGGTAGGCTTTGATGGCAGGCCCCGGTGGCAAGTCTATCGCGACTTGCTGGGGGACAGTGGCAGACAAGTTGGTGGCAAGTCGGCACGTAGATAGGTCAGTGGCAGGCGTGTTTGTGACAGATATACAACTCAGGCTGTAGGTGGCAGGCTGGGCAGGTGGGTTGGTGGCAGGTAGACAAGGTCGGTCGATTAGCCTGCTAATGTCGGCTTTGTGGCAGTAACCGTGACTCCGTGGCAGCCTGTCCATCCATCTACTGCTTGTCCGCCTGTCCGTCTGTCTGGCTGACGGTGTTTGTGCGTCTGGTGTGTGGCAGGACCGGCTGTTCATGGAGAACGTGGGAGCCTGTGAAGGAGCTGTGCAAGCTCACGGACAACCTGGAGACGCGCATCGACGAGCTGGAGCGCTGGAGCAAGAAGCTGCACCTGAAGCGGCTCGACAGCATCAAGTCGAGTGTGAGCGCAGGAACCGCGAGGTCAGAGAGGGTGACGCAGGTCACACACGCGCACGCACGTACACACACGCACACCACGCACGTTTGAACGCACGTGTGTGTATGCATGCACTCACACACGCACGCACACATGCACGTACACATCGCCGCTACTGATGGTGACGCCGCTTCTACTCATCCTGCTCATGATAATGAAGCTGCTGCTGCTGATGTTGATGCTGATGATGATGCTGATGGTGGTGCTGCTGATTATGCTGCTGCCACTCATGATGATGCTCCAACTGGTGCTGCCGCTGATGATGCTGCTGATGATGATGCTGCTACAGCTATTGCTGCTACTGGAAGTGTTGCTGCTGCTGCCACTGCTGTTGTCACTTCTGCTACTGATGTTACTGCTGATGCTGCTACTCTTGCTGCTGCCACTGATGCTGCTACCACCATCGACGGTGATGATGGTGCTGGTGATTATGCTGCTGCTGATGATGCTACTGCTGCTACTGCTGTCGTTGCTTCTGCTATTGCTACTCCTGTTACTGCTGATGCCGCTACTGACACTGTTGCTGCTGCTGCCGATGATGATGATGGTGGTGGTGGTGATGATGATGATGACGGTGATGATGATGATGATGACGGTGGTGGTGATGATGATGACGGTGGTGATGATGATGATGGTGGTGGTGATGATGATGATGATGGTGGTGGTGGTGATGATGATGATGACGGTGGTGATGATGATGACGGTGTGCCCACAGTCAAGGGGGCAGTCAGTTTAGCCGGGCGGGCAGCAACTTCAGCCGAGGGGGCAGCAGCAGCAGCAAAGGCGGCCATCGAAAACACGGCTCGCTGCCCCACAAGCCTCCAAGCAAGGCCGGCGCCAAGGTACGCACCCGCACACGGACCGGGGAAGACGAACCATGGCCTACGCACGGGAGCCCCGGGGTTCTCTGGGATCTGGCAGGCCTGCCTCTGAAACGCAGATTAGATTTTATTTGATTTTTTTTTACGATATGGAAATTCATCGGATGACCGGGCTTCCGGTTTAATCACAGCCCAGTCTACGCGAGTCTGGTTCTCTGTGTCAGCCCATGGGTCTCTATGTCAGTCCAAGGGTCTCTGTGTAAGTCAATGGGTCTCTATGTAAGTCAATGGGTATCTATGTAAGTCCATGGGTCTCTATGTAAGTCAATGGGTCTCTATGTCAGTCCATGGGTCTCTTTGTCAGTCCATGGATCTCTATGTAAGTCCATGTATCTCTAAGCAAGTCTATGTATGCGTGTGGCTTGTTCGCGTGTGGCTCATGCACGTGTGTGTGTGGGTTCTGTGTGTGTGTGCGTGTGTTCTGTGTGTGTTCTGTATGTGTGTGTGGGTTCTGTGTGTGCGTGTGTTTTGTGTGTGTGTGCGTGTGTTCTGTGTGTGTGTGTGGGTTCTGTGTGTGTGTGTGCGTGTGTTCTGTGTGTGTGTGCGTGTGTTCTGTGTGTGTTCTGTATGTGTGTGTGGGTTCTGTGTGTGTGTGTGCGTGTGTTTTGTGTGTGTGTGCGTGTTGCTTGTGTGTGTGCGTGTGTGTGTGGGTTCTGTGTGTGTGTGTGTGGCTTCTGTGTGTGTGTGCGTGTGTTCTGTGTGTGTGCGTGTGGCTTGTGTGCGCGACGCAGGCTCAGGCTAGCCAGCCTCACCCGGGCTGTCTGGGTCAGAGGTTCCTGCAGGGGACGATCATCGCGCTCGTGGTCATCATGGCGTTCAGGTGCTGGCGCCAGATCAGCGGCACGGATCCCACACGGGCCAGACGCACACAACAACGACAGCAACATCAACAACAACGCACGCAACAATGCACACAACAACGCACGCAACAACAACATGCACGAACAACGCACACAACAACAACGCATGCAACAACAACAACAACAACTCGCAAGAACAACACACACAACATACAACAACACACAACAACAAGAACGCACACAACAACAACGCACACAACAACAACATGCCAGAACAACGCACACAACAACACACAACACCAACGCACACAACAGCACACAACAACGCACACAACAACGCACACCACAACGCACACGACAACAATGCACACAACAACAACGCACAACAACACACGACACGTAAGGTTACACGTTTGCGGGGACCTTTGTCTGTGTGCGTGTGCGCAGTGTGGTGTCCATGTCGACGCTGTACATCATGAGCCTCAAGAGTGAGGACAGCTCGTCCGAGAAGGAACTCGCCGAGTAAGCGAGCATCGACACCACCGTTGTTTATTGTTGTGGTTAGTGTTGTTGGTGTTAGTAGTATTGTTAATATTGTTGTTATTGGTGTTGTTATTGTTGATGTTATTGTTATTACTCTTGGCTTCTTTCGGTAAAGTCACGTAGATGAAATTTTTTAAAAATAAATAAGTGATTTTTATTATTTTTTTTCACCTACGTGACTTTATCGAAAGAAGCAAAGAGTATGGATTCCTCGCAGTTATTGTTGTTGTTATTATTGTTGTTGTTACTGTTATTGTTGTTATTATTGTTGTTGTTGTTTATGTTATTGTTGTTGTTATTTTTGTTATTGTTATTGTTGTTAGTATTGTTGTTGTTATTGTTGTTAGGTTATTGTTATTGTTGTTGCTATTATTGTTGTTGTTATTGTTGTTGTTATTGTTGTTGTTATTGTTGTTGTTATTGTTGTTGTTATTTTATTGTTATTGTTGTTGTTATTGTTGTTGTTATTGTTGTTGTTATTGTTGTTATTGTTATTGTTGTTGTTGCTGTTGTTATTGCTGTTATTTTTGGTATTATTAAGATTCCGCCAGTTTGCCCAGGAGAGTCCTGCCAGGTTTGGCGCAGGAGGCCAGGGCGGCGGGTGGCGGTGGTGGGGGAGGGTGGTGATGCTACTGCTGTGCCTGGTCCCAGCTGAGTGACTTGGCCACACGCGTGTCTCATTGTTCAGCATTATGGGGCGGTGTTGGCCCACACCGGCTACGTACGTTGTGCGCCTTTTATTTTAGCCATGGGGAGGAAACCGGAGAACCGGGAGGAAAACCCCACGCAGAGCAGGGGGAGAGAACCTGAGTCAGGAATCGAACCTGGGCCCTTCTCGCTGGGAGGCACGAATGACACCCCGCCCCCCCGCGTTAGAATTATCCCCCGATTTTTTTCAAAATCCCGATTGTGCTGTTGGCGACGCTTCATCACGAGACGTCGAATCCATTGGGAGTTCTCGCTGCTGCGGTGCGACGACAACGACGACGGAGCGGTTAAACACGGCGGCCACAGACGCAGGGTCGCGCCAAACGGACATTGCGGGAATCTTGTTAGCGGAACCCGACAGCGAAAGATAAACGGGCGGCAGCCCGAGTTGGATCCGAGATCACGTCTGGGCGGTCAAGTCAAGGGCTCTAAGGTGGGCAGCTGTTGAGGTAGCAGTGGAAGATTCCTCGTTGCCACGTGTACGACGGCCGCGAGTAGACACGTGTTTTATTGTCTTCGCTCCCTACCCCAGTAGCATTGTGTCGAGCACTTCCAAATACTGGACGGGCTCACAGCCGGCGACGCAACCGCCGAGTAATTACACCACGCTGCCAAGTGAGTGCACGCACGCACGCACGCGCACGGCACAGCACTTGCCCCAACGGTTTGTTCGAGGCTACGCCGGGGAGGGGGGACCTTTGTCTGTGCGTGCGAATCGCTGTGCCGCTGGGCGTGCGCCCGGCTCCCCGCAGGTGGCGAGCTCCCGTGCATCGACCTGTGCTTCAACCCCCCCTGCCGGCCCATGTGCTGCCCACCGCCCACCGCTGCCCCATCCACGGCCGATCTCTCAGGCCACAATCTCACCTCCACCGCCGCCGCCTCCTCCTCCTCCTCGTCGTCATCGTCGTCCTCATCATCCCAAGCCTCCTTGCCCAAGCTCTCCGGCGGTGAGCGTTGATGTGGAATGAATCGACGGAGGTTGGTGGATCACGCACGGTGTTCGTGAAAAACTTGTTTATATCTTGAGCTTTCGTGACTGCAGGAATGAATATTGTTTGGGTCTTTCGGTAAAGTCACGTGGATAGGTTCAAATTAATGGAAATAAAATAAACAAACAAAAAAACCTACGACGTTGCGATCGCAGCGCAAGCGATTGTCATCAGGATGAAAAAAATAGGGGGAAAACTGCCGAAGGCCAGCTCTTTTAAAAAGGTTTAAAATGGGCGTAGCCCAAGGTCATAAGCATCACTAGCACCGCCCACTTCGTTTATGACTTGCAATCCAGAGCTCGCCGGTTCGACTCCATCTCTGTCCTTCCACCAACGAAACTAACCACGTTTAGTCGAGCGGCTGGCCGCGTGTGGTGGGGTAAAAAGTGTGGTCACTCCGCACACCTCCCAACACGCCTGGCCCGCGCGGAGAGTCAGACCTAACAAACTACCCTGGAGCTCCGCTCTCTCTTCCGCGAGCGATTGAGGGGCTGCGCGTTTACCTCTGACCACCACTGGAGGACGATGGCACTTTTGAGTGGCAGATTCGTGCCAGAACGGCGCCGTGCATTTAAGCAAAAACTCAAATAAACTGGACTTTCCACGACCACCAAAAATAAACTCGGCTTGCCGCTGCCGCGTCATTTCTCCCCGCAGGCCCGCGCTCCCGCCCGGGCGTTCGGCCCAAGTCGATGCCGTCTCCCGACGGCCCCAACGGTGCCAACGACGCCCTGCCGGCCCGCCCCACCAAAGCGCTCGTCCATCTGTTCGCACGCCGGCACGGAGCCGTCGCCCGCGGCGGCGGCGGAGGCTCAACCACGCACGCCAAAGGTAGTCCGGCCGGTAGCTCAGCCGCACCGGCCGTGCGCCACGGTCCCCTCTCGACCGAGGAGCTCCCAACTCTTGTCTCGCCGCATCTCTTCTATGTGTTGTGCACCCCTCCTCCACCGACACGGCCAATGAATACGAAGCGATGGAACCAACGCGCCGGGTGGCGACCGCTCCGTCTGCTTCAGCAGCACGACCGGCCGGTGCCGTTGCCGGAGAGCGATCCGCAGCGCCGCGCGCTCAACGATTTCGGCAACAGCCGGCTGTGACCCCCGCCGGAACGCCCCAACCGTTAAATTGCGCTTGTGCCTAGGGCCACCGCTGGGTGGCGGAGGCCTCCTCGACTCGATGGTCGGAGCGGAGAGGCAGCGGTCGCCCCTCCCGAGTCCCGCTCCTGGGTCAGCGGTCGACGGCGGGGGCGGGACGAGCGCGCCGGCCAATCAGACGGCACCGCGGGCCGGGGGCGGAGCCGGGGGGCGGCGGAGAAGGAGCAAGAGGAGGAGGAGGAACGTGGGGGATGTCGACTGTAAGCTTGCTGACGATGGTGATGATGCTGATGACGCTGATGGTGATGATGGGTGACGATATTGACGGTGATGATGGGTGACGATGATGCTGATGATGCTGATGATGGTGACGATGCTGATGATGCTGACGGTGATGTAGATGGTGCTGACGATGATACTGATGATGCTGATGATGGTGACGATGCTGACGATGATGCTGATGATGTTGATATTGACGGTGATGATGGGTGACGATGATGCTGACGATGATGCTGATGCTGACGGTGATGCAGATGGTGCTGACGATGATACTGATGATGCTGATGATGGTGACGATGCTGACGGTAATGATGATGCTGACTATGGTGACGATACTGACGATGATGATGGTGGTGATGGTGACGATGCCGACTATGGTGACGATGATAGTGATGGTGACGATGGTGGTGATGGTGGTGATTTTGGTGATTGTGGTGACTGTGGTGATGGTGACGATACTGACGATGATGGTGATGGCGGAGATGGTGGTGATGATGGTGATGGTGACGATGATGGTGATGGTGGTGATGGTGGTGATGGTGACGATGATGGTGGTGATGGTGACGATGATGGTGATGGTGGTGATGGTGACGATGGTGGTGATGGTGACGATGGTGGTGATGGTGGTGACGATGGTGATGATGGTGGTGATGGTGCAGGGACTGACACCAGAGCACGGAGCATTCAGATCCTGGAGAGTCAGCTGACCATCGACACCAACTACTGTGTCGCTGGGGCTCCGTGCGGGTGAGCTTACGCACTCACTGCCTCGCTCACCTCCTCACTCACTGCCTCGTTCGCTGCCTTACTCACCTCACCGCTAACCTTTTCACTCACCACCTCGCTCACCGCCTCGCTCACCCGCAGCTGCTGGCTGACGTAGCTCCGTCTCGAAATGCCAATGGGCCCGATGGGGCGACAGCTTCATTTCATGTTGACGTGGACATACGGAGAGGAAACCGTGCCGAGTCATCTGTGCGTCTCGTTGTTGAGTTCCTCTCGCTGCTGGTAACACCGATGTGTGTACGTGTGTGTGTGTGCGTGTGTACGTGTGTGCGTGCGTGTGTACGTGTGTGCGTGCGTGTGTACGTGTGTGTGTGCGTGCGTGCGTGTGTGTGTGCGTCACAGGAAGGGCAACTACACCATGGTGATTCCCATCAGTGGCGAAACCCCGCCCGACCAGCTTATCCGACTTGAGCTCAAGTAGGGGCTTACAACAACAACCAACAACAACCAACAACAATAAACACAACAAGAACACAATAATTTCACCCTTAAAATTCTCGCAACAACAACAACAGGCACAACAACACAACAGCAAGCACAATAACACAACACTCTTGCTATGAACCCGTCGACCCGAGTTCGATTCCCCGCTCACGACCAATAACAATGGCGAATATGCGAACGGGTCCTGTGCCTGCCCCAAGTCGTCTTCAGCCTTAAACGAGCAGCCGGTGGGGTGCGTAATTAACGTCGGCACTGGGGAGACAAAGGCGGCCGGGCACGGTACCGTCGGCCACCCGTCCCGCCGCTAGCTAGCGGCTCTTGCCCCGAAAGCGGTCCCGGTGAAGGCTACGCGGGGGACCTTTGCCTTTGCCTGTGTGCGTGCAGCACGTCGGAGCCGCTGCTGATGTACATGTGTGACGCGGAGCAGACCGCACCCTGCCTCGCCAACGTGCCCCGCCCCGAGCTGCTGCGGAGCACGCAGGTAACGGGGGGTGGGGGTGGGGGGGTGGGGGGGGTGGGGGGGGGGAGTGGTGGTGGTGGGGGGGTGGTGGGGGAGTGGTGGTGGTGGTGTTGGGGGTGGGGGGGGGAGTAGTGGTGTTGGGGGGGTGGTGGGGGGTGGCAGGGGGGGTGGTGGTGGGAGTGGGGGGGGGGTGGTGGGGGGGTGATGGTGGGGGGGTGGTGGTGGTGGGGGGGGGTTGGTGGTGGTGGGGGAGTGGTGGTGGGGGGGGTGGTGGGGGGGGTGGTGGTGGTGGTGGGGGAGTGGTGGTGGGGGGGGGGTGGTGGGGGGGGGGGTGGTGGTGTTGGGGGTTGGTGGTGGTGGGGGTGGTGTTGGGGGGTGGTGGGGTGGCGGGGGGGGAGTGGTGGTGGTGGTGTTGGGGTGGTGGTGGGGGTGGGGGGGGGAGTGGTGGTGGTGGTGGGGGGGTGGTGGTGGTGGTGGGGGGGAGTGGTGGTGGGGGTGGGGGGGTGGGACCGGGCCGGCGACGTGACGGCCCGGCAGGGTAGCGTGGTCGGGCCGCTCGACGTTGCCGAGTTTCGCGGTTCGAGTCACGTGGGCCGCCCTGGTTAACACCGCGCCCTGCGCGTTCACCGCTAAATATTCCCCACGGCCGCTCTCCCCGCCACCTCTGGCGCAGTCCGCAGAAGAGCCGGGCGTTGCGTGGTCCAAACTTGCCAAATTTGTTAAATGACACCGCTAAATCTTGACTTAAAGCTTTCATGACTGCAGGAATCCATATTCTGGGTGTCTTTGGGTAAAGTCACGTAGATAGGTTCAAAGGAAATAACACAAAATAACAAAAAACTACGAGGAGCGGACGCAGTGCGGCGGGTGGCACAGCGCCACGAGTTGATATCGTGACAACAACAATAACAACAACGATGATAATAGGGTTTTCCCCTTTTTTTGGCCACAAAACTGAAACCTTTTTACAAGGATTCATGTCTGCGTTAACCACAATACTTGCAGTCAAAATGCAAACAAAAAACACACTGATAATATATTGACATTGTCCTTGAAACTCATTGGTCCACACCAAGGGACGGCTTTCTTTTGACCCTTGACCCAATTGGTTGCTCGACCAGAGGACGCCAAAAGGCGTCCACAGCTCAACGATGATAACAGCCCCAACTTGCACTCTGTGGTGATGTCTGGCGCGCGTGTCCAGGGCTACCAGCACACCTGGGACCTGCTCGTCGCGCCCTTCTACCGGAGCACTTACCACTTCAGGGTCGTCGTGGTGGTGAGTGCCTCCTCGCGCGCTGGCCCAATTCTCCAGGAGAAAGCTTTTGTCTTCCGGACGACAGCGTTTGGAAAGTTGTTATGGACAGACGGCCGGGGCAGGAGTGGTGACGGTGGCCACGCTGCACGCGGCCGCCAGTAATCCGGCACCGTGCAGGCAGCGGCGCGGGGGTTGGTAGATCACCGCGCACAGATGTTGCGAAACTCCCTTCGCCGTGCGCGTCGATGAGGTGCCAAACCCTGGCTCGTCAGAGGGCGGTACAGTCAAGTGCGGACTCATCTCCATCTGTTCCATCTGTACGGGGATCGAGCGTTGCCTCCCACACGTGCGTGCTCCGGTTCCATCTGATACTTATCAGCAGCCGTCGTTAATTGGCCAGGATACGGTAATCAGCGGCAGCTACGATGCACCATTGGAACCTCATTTGCCAGTAGCAAAATATGATAATTGTTTTTTTACCCTTTTATTTGGCAACAAAACTGACGCCTTTTTTTACAAGGAGTCATGTTTGCATAGACCACAATACCTGCAGTCATAATGCAAACAAAAAGCATAACTCTGATAATGTATGTACTGTCCTTGTGAGACTAGGCTCTAAGGAAAGCTGTCTCGGGTGTGGACCAATCAACTTCAAGGACAGTGCATACATTATCAAAGTTATGTTTTTTGTTTGCATTCCGACTGCAGGTATATTGGTCAATGCAAACATGACTCCTTGTAAAAAAGGCGTCAGTTTTGTTGCCAGATAAAAGGGTAAAAAAACCAATTATCAGGTACGATGCAGTTTGCATGAACGACGCTACGGCGTAACAACGCTCGTTCTTGTTACCGTCACCACGTCCCTGCGATAGCAATACACAATTTTTCGATTTAAAGCTTTCGTGACTGCAGGGATTCATCTTCTTGGTTCTTTCGGTAAAGTCACGTAGAAGGGAAATAATAAAATAATAAAAATAAAACAATAAAATACAATTTTCACGACGTTTCGGCCACAACGCAAGCAGCCGTTCTCAGGTGAAGAACAGGTCTGTCGGAAAGAATTGTATTTTATTATGTTTTATTTTTATTATTTTATTATTTCCCTTCTACGTGACTTTACCGAAAGAACCAAGAAGAACAATACTCAACTTCCACCACCGGCTCTGCAGGGCTGTAAACAGGAGTTGTGCACCTCAGCAAGCTTCTGACTTAACTTATTATTATTTATTTACCAATGTTGTGGGTTTACTCTCCAATACACCGGTGTGCTGAAGTAGTGACTCATTGGCATTTTTTCTTTTACGTGAAAAACCTCACTAATTGGCTGCGTCCGGTGGTGGTGGCGTCTTTATAACGACACGTCGATATTTCCGCGATCTAACCCCAAAAAAAAAATCTTCACGGTTAAAAAAACATCTTCTATTACCGTCGACTGGACGGCCAGCTTGCTGAGCTCGAGAGCAAAACCGGCCAATCGATCGGCCACTCGGCCCCTCGGCCTGGCGGCGACGGGCCCCCCACGGCCTCCCGGCAGCCCGCGGGCCTCCCGCCTGGCTCAGAGGCGTCACTCGCGTGGCTCCCCTCCCCACCCCCGCAGGGCCTGGCGGACTGCGGCACGAGCGCTGGGCAGGCCGAGGCCACCTTCACGGACTACCACTTCGTCTTCCAGCGCATCTGCACCTGAGCTGCGCGAGGGACGAAGAGACGAACCCCAACCGCAGCGCCACGAGCACCACCTGGGCCCGCCCGCTCGCTCTCACGGCAGCCTCTCTCTCATCCCTCTTGCCTTGTCCCTTTGTCCCTGTCCGTCTGTCGCTGTCCTTCTGTCTCTGTCCGTGCCCACTGACTACTAGGGCCGCAGACGCGCTGCGGATGTTGGGGGTGTGTGTCTCCTCCCCCCACCACCACCGCCGCCTCTGCTAAGCGCTCTTCCCGGTCGTTGTTGGGTTCCTGGGTAGGTGGCCGACACGCCAAGAGCCAGGGGGCCGCCAATGCCGCAGATTTCAGCGACGGGGCGGACGGTGAGGTCGCTTCGCCTCTACTGCGGTGGCGGTGGTGGTAGCGGTGGTGGTGGTAGCGGTGGTGGTGGTAGCGGTGGTGGTGGTGGTGGTGGTGGTGGCGGTGGGGGCGGTGGGGGTGCAGTCGTACTGGGGACCGGGCGGGGGGCTCTTACTACGAGTGGACAGCTCCCGACCGGTGCTGGCTGGGTAGAGTGGAGGCACGATCTGACCAAGTTGGCCCCCACTTTCTCACGGATCACAGGAGCCCTTCTCAGACGTGGATCTTGAAACCTCCCAGGGAGGAAGGTGCAGGGGGGGGAGGGCGGCTACGGATTTTTTAGGGTCCTACATTCATAAAACAAAACCATTGAGTGTATTCGTTCTGATAAATAATAATAAAATAGTAAATTCGGGGCTCAAGGTGGGGGGTGGGGCGGGGCCATCGCCCACGTGACCCCCTACCCCTTGAGGGTGCCCCCCTGGGAACTCTGGGTAATCTCTGGTCACGGGACGCACGAGGCCCGGACCACACTGGGTCGAGACGATTTCGACTCCTGTTGCCACGGAGACATTAAGTCGTCACAAGCACCGTCTACTCAGCTGCCGCTGCTGTCCTACTGCGTAACTCAGCGGCTCCGTCACACCGATCGGCGTTCGCGTCGCCCTCGTCGACGGGAGAATGATGCAGACCTCAACATATCGAGCGTGGCTGCCTGCTAGCCACGTGTACGCGACCGGCCATGACGGCCTCGCAGCGGGGGAGCTTCTGGCCAAAGTGGCCCCCACACACAAAGGCAGAGACCCCCCTCCCCCCCCGTGTAGCCTCAACAGACTGCAGGAGCAAGTGCTGTTTGCGGGGTAGCGCCCACTAAGGCCGACACGGCACATGAGGGATTGGTGTGGCCGGGGAAACCACCCCCCCCCCCCCGTACCACCTTCTTCTCGCCCAGTGGCAATGTTTACACAGTGGTGCACCGGCTACTCATTTGAGGCTGAGTCGACCTAGGGGACGCCTGGGACCGGCTCCCTATATATTCGTCGCTGGTGTTGGTGGCCTTGAGCGGGAATCGGGTTCGTAAGCGCAACGCGCCTAACCACTACGCCACCGCTCCACTCCCCGCTCCTCAGTGACGCACGCACAGAGGGACCCGCCTCCACGTGGCAAGGGACTGGAACCCTACGGCTCACGAGCCACCACGAGGGTAGCCACACACGACGCTCGCAAATAATTGTATTCGTCACTGCAAGCAACTTCAGTTCATTTAGCTCTGCACTAATCGGGTTCTAGAGGGAGGGGATCTTTTAGGCTTGGCATCGTCAACTGCAAACACCGCGCTTCTCGTAGTGCCACACACAGTGCATGCCCCACGCCGGGTTGTGACGAACCCCACTCCGCGTTCCATCGTGAATGCTCCATGCCGGGTCACGGTTGTGAACACACCACTCCATAAATTTCGATTTAAAGCTTTCGTGACTGCAGGGATTCATCTTCTTGGTTCTTTCGGTAAAGTGACGGAGAAGGGAAATGATAAAATAATAAAAATAAAACATAATAAAATAATTCTCACGACGTTTAGGCTACAACGCAAGCAGCCGTCCTCAGGTGAGGACGGCTGCTTGCGCTGTTTGCGTTGTAGCCGAAACGTGAGAATTATTTTATTATGTTTTATTTTTATTATTTTATTATTTCCCTTCTACGTGACTTTACCGAAAGAACCAAGAAGATGAACACCACTCCATGTTCCATCAAGTCCACGCCATGCCGTGTTGTGGTGTACTTTTTTTTGTTTGTTTCACGAAATGGGTTATCGCTTAGCGAGGTTCATGATAATTTTCCAAATATAAATTTGTATCGTCTTGTTTCATCGTTCGTTAGGTTGCAAAATGCGTTTAAAGCAACTTTCCGCTTGAGTTGCGGTGGGGCAAAATGTGGGTACTCACCACCCCCTCATCTCTTACAACACACACATCTGACCAGTGTGGTCGCGGAGCGAGCAATTGGCAGGACCGCAAACTTTCCTTTCCGCGGTTGAAAATATTGCATCCAGTCCCCGTGTGTCATTCGAAGAAACAATCGACGTGTGGTGTCTTGCATATAAAATGTAAAGTCAACGTTCAACGATCCGTCTTCTTTCGTATTGGCAAGGTGGCGTTTTTGACGTCACCTGTGTTGGGCGTCGAGGTTGTCAAACCATTCCGGTGGCCTGGCTCCGTGGAGGCTGCGTGGATCGTTGGTGACACTGCCCTCAGTGTGGCACCACGTGACACATGCTCTGTGAGTCAGTGGTGCGGGGCGGGGCAGTGTGGCACCACGTGACCCATGCTCTGTGAGTCAGTGGTGCGGGGCGGGGCAGTGTGGCACCACGTGACCCATGCTCTGTGAGTCAGTGGTAAGGGGCGGGGCAGTGTGGCACCACGTGACCCATGCTCTGTGAGTCAGTGGTGCGGGGCGGGGCAGTGTGGCACCACGTGACCCATGCTCTGTGAGTCAGTGGTGCGGGGCGGGGCAGTGTGGGACCACGTGACCCATGCTCTGTGAGTCAGTGGTGCGGGGCGGGGCAGTGTGGCACCACGTGACCCATGCTTTGTGAGTCAGTGGTGCAGGCGGGGCAGTGTGGCACCACGTGACCCATGCTTTGTGAGTCAGTGGTGCGGGGAGGGGCAGTGTGGCACCACGTGACCCATTCTCTGTGAGTCAGTGGTGGCGGGGCGGGCAGTGTGGACCACGTGACCCATGCTTCTGTGAGTCAGTGGTGCGGGGCGGGGCAGTGTGGGACCACGTGACCCATGCTCTGTGAGTCATGTGTGCGGGGCGGGGCAGTGTGGCACCACGTGACCCATGCTCTGTGAGTCAGTGGTGCGGGGAGGGGCAGTGTGGGACCACGTGACCCATGCTCTGTGAGTCAGTGGTGCGGGGCGGGCAGTGTGGGACCACGTGACCCATGCTCTGTGAGTCAGTGGTGCGGGGAGGGGCAGTGTGGGACCACGTGACCCATGCTCTGTGAGTCAGTGGTGCGGGGCGGGGCAGTGTGGGACCACGTGACCCATGCTCTGTGAGTCAGTGGTGCGGGGCGGGGCAGTGTGGCACCACGTGACCCATGCTCTGTGAGTCAGTGGTGCGGGGCGGGGCAGTGTGGCACCACGTGACCCATGCTCTGTGAGTCAGTGGTGCGGGGAGGGGCAGTGTGGCACCACGTGACCCATGCTCTGATTCAGTGGTGCGGGGCAGTGTGGCACCACGTGACCCATTCTCTGTGAGTCAGTGGTGCGGGGCGGGGCAGTGTGGGACCACGTGACCCATACTCTGTGGCCCGTCGGCTTGCCAGGTGTCGTAGGTCGAGTGGAACTGCGAGGTGTGATGGCCAGGAGATGGCGAGTTCGCTGGCTTTTCCAGTTGTCCGGATCTCCCGGGATTCCACCTCGAACGCCACGAAGCGAAGCTCTCATCGCTCACGGGAATTCACGGCCAAGCGTCCCAAAATGTAGGCAGGACCCTCTTGGAATAGGTCTTGAGACTCGGGGCTTATCTGCGGGGAAAAAAAAACAATCGGCATTGTGATTGGCAATTGGACGCTTTGGGTCTATAATTGGGACCCTTTTTGGCAGCATCAAAGTATGGAAATATAAGAATAGATTTAATACCCTTTTCTGGCAATCAAACAGGAGGTGTTGAGATGTTCAAACGGCAAAACATTTTGTAAGAAATCAAGTTGCTGCATTGACCACACACAGTGCATGTGGTGAACACGCAAACAAAAACACGCTCTGATAATTCCACTGGTCAACACACTTTTTCTGGCATAAGGTATTCCAACGGTTTTAAGGTAATTTTGGGGTGCTGATTCCAAATCTGGCATCAGTTTTTGCCTATCACATCAGGTTTTTGAGATATCAAATATTGCATTTTCAATAAAAACTGCAGAAGAAAAATATTAAATAAATGTGGATATCTACATAAAATGATATTATAAACACACTATCCTAAAAATACAGCACCATATTTTAACACTAAAGCAGTCACTGACTCTTGCAATCATAAGTGACAGAGTTAATTTCGGGTAAAATCAATGAAAATGGGGTATGCCGATAGCATAAATCTGAGATCAGATTTGGAATCAGCACCCTGAAATAAGTCGTAAACAGCTGCAAAAGTCCAAGCCAGAAAAAAAATGTTTTGTTGTTGTTGACCAGTGGTGTAATACGTGTGATGATGCATTGTGTTTGAAACTGATTGGCCTTTACCAGAGACGGCCTTCTTCATGGCACAGTCTCACCAGTGTCAGGTTGGAGAACAACACCACAAGGCGAACAGGGCAAAGACAACGCACTATCGGAGCATTTACAGCACGGCTGTTGAAAAATCTCGTTAAATATGAATTTTTATATATATACAAAAAAAACTTACCTTAAGGGGCCGTCCATAAATGACGTCACGCACCTGGGGGGGGGAGGGGGTCAGATATGTGTGACAGATGTGTGACGATGGGGGGGGGGGGGTTTGAGAAATGTGACGTCACGTCAAAATGCGCAACTTTAAATCAATATAGACAACACGTTCCACTTAATTAAATAGACTTTTTAATAAATGTTTTCTCCTACAACATCAGAGTGCAGCGCCACATTAAATACGCACTACAATGACAATAGTTTAAAGCGATTTGAAGCATGTTTTTTTTTTTGGGGGGGGGGGGGGCAGAGCTTTGTGACGTCATATTTGAGGGGGGGGGTCTGACTTTTTGTGATGCCGTTGTGACGAAAGGGGGGGGGGGGGTCAAAAATCATCCAAAATCGCGTGACGTCATTTATGGACCCACACTTACCCCTCCGTTGGGGGCGTCGGGGGTGGGAGCAGAGACCCTGAATATGGCAAAAACAGTGGCAGTACAGCAAGCAGGGCTGCAGGATTTTCTCCTACGAACTTTCGAAGGTTATCATCATCTTGTATGCATGGTGGTCTATTTCCAAAACCCTGCGTTCCACTTTCTTCCCACACTGAAACCAAACTCGCTCGCGGGTTCCACGCACGGATATCCCAATGCTGGGCCTCTGTTCTGTGTTATGCACACTGGTAGTACGGTCGTTATCTTTTGAAGGTAAAGATTGTAATTGTAATCGGTGGGATGAACGACGTTTGTGAAGACTGGCAACAAAAAAATCCGCGTTCATGTGGTCGTGATGTGTGGTGTTGTGTAGACAGACGCTTCTATTTTTTTCTCACGTATTGGCAGTTAAGCATATGGCTCAGTCTTTTGACTATTTAAGTCACTTACACTGTACATATATTTTACATACTTATCGGACAACCGTTGGTTGGTTATTGTCAAGACACCTTTCAACAAGTTAATGCTGTAATAAGAATCTTTAAGAAGTACAGTACTTTGTTCAAATTATATTTTAGGGAGGCAGGGTGGACGGGGGGGGGGGCTTTGACAATCTAATTACACACAACCTGTGATTTCACTGACTTGAAGTTGATCAATCATCATCACGGCAATTCAACTCCTTCGCTTGAATGAATCCCGATCACGAATCGCTTAAACAAAGTCAAGCCATAGCAATGTATTGACGTCCATCACTAACCTACTGCATCGTGACCAAATCAGCCAGAACCCTCCCGGTCTCATCGGACCTCGGGAAAGCTAAACAGGGTTTTTTTTTAAATCCTTTATATTAAGGTCACTTGCTTGCTTGCTTAGGACCGTGCAAATCTTTCGGTCGTTTTTTAACCCACTTCCCGTGATCCAATCGAGGTGACATTTTGCACACAGACTCGTTGTGCGTGACAATTAATTTTCGTGAAAATTTTTTTCCAACATTTTACACTGTTTAGGGAATTTTTTTTTTATATTTAATTACCAATTGCTTAATGCTGGCAGACAATCATCTGACCCATAGGTGGCAGCCATCTCAAGCCAGAGGACGAGAGGACTCTAGCGCCACGCATCTAAAGGATTTAGAGTGAAAAACTTTGTTTTTACGGGTTAATTTTTTCTCCCCCCCCCCCCCAGCCTGGCTATAAGTACACAATTACAATCCAACCGGACGTCGAGCAAAACTCAACAAACCACCGCTGTGGTCCTAGGGCCGGGCCTAGTAATCAAACTGCACTGTATATAGTTTACAGATTATTGTTTTCTTGTACATTGACAATGACAGTGCGATGTGATGTGTGTTCCGTTCGACTGCCGTCATGATTCTATGCTATTCGACGCTTTCCATCGGTGGTTCTTAACTTTCTACTGCACCCTTGCACCCCTATGGATTCTCAATCGTAATTATTTTTTAAATATCTAGAATTGTTAATAAACACGTAGAGTTTGATGAAACAAGTTGGCACTTACGTGCCCGTGGCCTAATTTGTGTTTTCGATTATTTTTTGACTTCTAAAGAAACATCTGCTTCACATCTCGCTACCCCCCAGAAAGGGCATCTCGCACCCACAGGGAGTTCGTGCCCCTCGGGTTAAGAACCACTGCCATGCACTCTAATTCCTGCTATTGCTGTATCATTGCGTACGATTAGTGCTGCGTCCGCATATGTACATTAGATACACACACGCATCAATATAAGCGCTTTTTGAAAAAAAAATGTAATCGGGAACGGGTTTTTATACGTAAAAAAAAACATTATTATTAATATCGGTGGAGATAGAAACACACAATCTGTTAAATTCGACATACATCATAAAACACAAACTTGTCCTTCTGTGAGTTGGTCTCACGTGTCAGTGAGGAGGACCGGGTGTCACGCGCACGAGGGCCGAGTCAGGCAGGGGCCCTCACTCCTCTCGCGAGCCACCAGGGGGAGCCGTGGCATTGATCGTGAGCTGCAGCGAACCACCGATGGCTTCTAGATTTGAAGCTTTCGTGACTGCAAGGATTCATATTCTTAGGTTTTTTCGGTAAAGTCACGTAGGTAAAAAATTTAAATTAATAAAAGTAGAATAAAATAAAAATCACGACGTTTCGGAGGCAACACAAGCTTCCGTCTTCAGGTGGAACCGTCACAGCCACGACAGCTGTATCACTTGATACAGCAATCACTTGATACAGCAATCACTTGATACAGCTATCACTTGATACAGCTATCGTGCTGTGACGGTTCCACCTGAA